ACTGAAGGCTATTTCACGCTCTTGTGTTTTAGAACATGGCGATATAAATTCGTATTTGGCATTGTTAGATGCAGTATTTGTATCTCGCACCCTATTCATTACATAAGATCATTTGATAAAAACAACTTCATATTATTTTGCTCTTCTCCCAGAAGAATAAAGCCAGTTATCGTAAGAAATTTCAAGGTAAAATTATACCTAACGCTAGCCACTTCAAATGAAACTATTTCAGTTGAAAAAGTATATTTGATGAACTATATTTGATGTACCTTCGAACCCAGGAATGAAGAAAGAAAGTATTTATCGATTGAGTCCCTTTTGGGCTAGACACACGGGATTTAAATTCTGACCCCAATTTTCTTCAACTCCGACATGCTTATTATAAATACGATATCCAACTTACTCTATAATTGATCAGTAACGAAGAGAGGTCCAGATATCAGTAGATTTTAGTTGCTGTAGAACAGAGACCAGGCTTGGATTCTGTCTGTGTACGACTGATGTGAGTATGTGTAAGAGCAGTAACTCATTAGTTGCCCTAGGGATACACAGTAGGGCTACCATCTAAATCATATATGCACGTTGCTTCAATTTGCTATTGATTCGCTCAACGATATTGCCTGAGGCTAAAATTAACTATTCGATGCACCGCCACACAACACCGCAGAAAAAAAACCTCTCAATAATAAACTTAATGCCTGAAACAAACCTCGCTTTTTTTAAAAATCTTAGTTCGAGAGAATTGAAACTTTGGAATGACTCTAAAAATATTGGCTTCAGTAAGTCTAAGTTTTTTTTAAAATATAAAAAGACCAAGCAACACCACTCAAGGGGCTTTTCTGAGAGTCTTGGTCACAAATGAATGATAAAGAAAGCTAGGTTGCCTGAGGCAATAAATTAAATGAAACCTTGTGAACATGGCGCGGAGCCTTTCTACCGGTTCCCTGGGGATAGCCCCGGGTCAAATCCATCTAGAAAAACCATTAGTGTTTGTAACTTGCCCGTTGGTGGATTACCGTAAGCCACACACCTACTAGTCTGTGCGGCCATCAATAAATGCATCTAGATTCTAGAAGCCAGGCTATAAACAAAGATGAGAGGGAGTAAAAGTTCCTATTAAGTGCTTATAATTTCCAATCTTTTAAAAGCGGATTAAGTTTTATAGCGCACAAGATTGGACATGCAAGCGACCAACACCTCGAGTATTTCTTAATATATATATTTTTTTATCTTTTAGAGATTATTTATTTCTCTTTTATATGCAGCAAGCCCCAAGGATACGAAAGCTAATTTCCGATTAAATAAGACAAGAATATTAAAATAGGAATAATGAATCAACCTACAGGGGACTTGAAGCCGCAAGGTTTTATTTTGTCATAAATATTTTTAGAGGGAAAGTTACACAATTGAATTTTTTTTACTTGAGTAAGCTTCGCATTTCTTTCCTTTGTGTAGCGTGTGCATTGTCACACCCAACAATTCAGTCAAAAACCTAAACAAGTAATACTTACAAGGTACCTATGAAACGATGGCGGAGTTACGTTGTAGAACCCTTTTAAATGAAAGTATCTTTGACGGGAGGCTAAAAGGAAAGTATTTTTAAAATCACTCTTTCCTCAATGGCATTTGTYGGCCATTTCTTTTATATTATCCCGTTAGTCTCGCATCTAAGATTGATTATAAAAGAGAATCTTATTTTAGCAAAATTGGAACTAAAAACTTGAAGGAAATTTAATATTAGAGGTATTAAGACTGACTTGATATTGTACTTTTCAAAGGACCGGTATCTGGCAATAAACTTCGGTTGCTGGTCGGCCTAATAAGAGATTAAAGTCGTCGGCGATTGCTTCCATGGCATCGGACTGCGTTGGAAGTTGAAAAGGCTCTTTATAAAAAACGTCGGTTTTTCTCGTAATAAAAAAAACAACTCTAAAAGAAATATAGTTGAAAGTTAACCTAAGGCGATACTGATCAAGCAAAGATGACAAGCTAACTTGCTTTAGCTTTGCATGATGGAGGCCGAAAGGTTGATACTACGCATGCGTGGTATATATTTCAAGCTTCGCCTTAAATCGTACTAAGCACGCTATCAGTATTCGTAAAAGCGACAATGAACGACAATAAAGGAAAACCAACTTCAATAAGAGGACTAGGTGGCTAGAAAAAAGGATTTATCAGTTTACCAAGGGAAGCCACTCCTGGTTGAGCGAGCTAATTATAGCACGAACGCACTTCAAGTTCCTGTAGGTAATTCGGTATTCAACCCGCGCCGAAAAGGAATTGTTTGGTCTGGGTATTTCCTAATGATGTTGTGTGTGATATGCCGCGATAGTTAAGCATGACAAATTTATAGTTACTTAATATAATAATTATTGTGACGCCATGCCATATTTGAACTAAATATACAGAAAAATGAATAAAAAATAAATAATAATAAATGAAAAACTAAGCGATGATGGAATAAATAAAGAAATTAACCAAGCAAAAGATAAGGCATATATCATGAAATTGTATTACAAAAAATATATAATTTTTTCAATATTTACTCGTGAAATATAATTTTGCATATAGAGCCCACTCCTTGTCGAAACTGAAATAATCCGAGTTACTGATTATATTCCTAACCTTTTTTGTCTAAAACTTGTCCTATCACTTACGTCAACCTATAATACATCGTTATCGTTTTTATCGTCAACCTTTTGCTCAGAATTCTCTAGTTTCGAGTTCTCTGTTGCTCAAGAGCAACCCCGTTTTTGTGTGAAATATTCACGTGTACCAGTAACGGTCCGTGAAATTTCAAGGTGGTTTGTATTGTTGAATTTTTTACTTTGCCGTTGGTATTTGTGAATATCCTGACTCTGATACGAGGCTAACCCTGTGTAAATGAGTCAAGGAACACAGCGGTATTTGAATAATTCGAAAATGGTCGATTCTCTGACGTCTTTCTGCTTCGTATGGGTACGAGTTGGTTTATAATAGTCTCGTACCCAGACCCTAATCGTGTGTCATCTTAGTCATGCTAGTATATTTTTCTGATTACACCGTCACTTTGGCACGGTGGGTTTCCCTCAGGTTGGGTTTCCTGTTCGCGTCGTTATATTATCACTGTTCACCACTCACACGAAAAGTTMTATTTTTTGATGATTGACCAGACACGGAAAAGCTACGTAATTTGAATTAAAAAGATATTTCTGTAAAACATTTTCTATTTGACTATGGCAGTTCTTTGCTATGTTCGACCAGAGTTTATCAAGGTTTCAAGGGGAAAAAATAGATAAAAAGCACTAGAAAATTTTGTTCGCGCTCACCTTTGCTTTCCTATATAATTGCCATTTCTCTACTTTCACATCACCATAATGCCTTGCGTCTTTGGGGGTAACCAATCAAAAAGCTATCCCAAATTGAAAGGTTTCTCAATTGAATTTATACTATACCTGCTTTTATCTGTACAATACTGATTATCAGTTTATTCCAAGTTACTTTTGCGCGTACAGATCATCAAGTTTTTTGGTCTTACAGAAAATGTATTGACTTACGAAATTTTTCTTAAA